TCTTCATATCGTGCTGACGGCAGAGCTTCCCCACCCACATTAATTTCCACATCACAAGCCTTAGCATTCGTTGATGAAGGAGGAGGCTCTCTGAAGTCGTAAGTCCTTAGCAAATGCTTTCCTTTCTCGATAACCTGAGAATTAACGACAGGTTTAGTAAACAGATAATAATTTATAGTAATTGCATTTAATGCCAGTCTACAGGCACTGTCAAAGAAATATAGAACGTCCTTAGAGCGTCCGCCAGCGTCTTGGCTAAATATCCTCGTCTCCGTTTTCAGGGCTGCGGATAATTCGAAGCTGTCAAAATTGGCTTAGTGCATAGTGAAGATAGAAAGTCTGTAGTTCAGTACTCCTATCCGACTGTTACACTCCTCATTTGATCTGGTAGACACTAAGTTGTAGATAGTCCAACTCCCAGAAACTGGCGCAATTCTACCTTTTCTCACATTACTAACCCCTTCCGTAGCACTCCAAGCCAAGAACGTTGCTGTCACCGTTTCTTCGCGCCAACAAATGAAGTTTTTTGGTACCACCTCAAGTTGGTTACTAAGTCACAGCACGGTATTCCAACCTCATTTTTCAAGACCACGCAAAAGAAACCCCTCAACCGTATAATAAATATAGTCAATCTCTACGATAACCCTGTGCAGCTGCTCCGGTGCCCCTTTTATGGTGTCTCTTGGTCGGTCGATAACCGCGAAAACCGCACTAACCTACGGGCACATAGCTGATCAGCGGCCACTCCTAAGGTCTGAGCTGGGGCATTTCTTGGTTAGCTTCAATGAGTCACGGCTGCGAACACAAACTTTTGCCGTCTCAAGCGCATCGGGCCGCCTGGCCTATTACCCGTGCGCCATTGCGAACATGCACCGCCGACTCCGCCACTAAACCAACGAACCACATGTCTAGCACACACCTGGACATTCCCACATTCTGAAGCGGCCATGTGGCGTCCGCGTAAACAACACCCCGCAAATAACGTTCTCCAAAACGGACGCTTTGCTCTAACACACAGTCAAACAGCCAACCCTTGCGCAGAATGAACCGGTTGTCACAGATCTTTTCTGACAATAAGCCCTCAGATTGGTTTTCGCCCTTTCCATTTTTCTTTGCTATTGCTATACACGGCATCCAATATCTATTGTCTCTGACGAAGGGTTCGAGCAGGAATCCGAAACGTCAGGCGAACAAAGCTCTTGTCCCAGCGATCGTGTCTCCTTATTCACGAGTGCTTCCTGGGACTCGTCGCTTCGCTTCTATTGACCTTACCATATATCGCAATCTCACCAAGCCTCGTTCCATAAATACGTAATTGCTCAATTAAAATGTTCACCATAGCAAACAAAGCAATCCTCCCTTTTTGTCAAACACCTCCGTTTTACCCTTTTGCGTCTTGTCACAACCAAAATTTCATCGGATCCCAGATTACGGCTGAAGATCATCTGACAATCCGGTAATCTATGGGTATCGCTACGGCCGACAGTTCCCAAGCGGCTGCCGGAGGATTGGCCTCCGTGTGGTGATCGCAAGACCTTGAACGACCCTACCACCGCTGAAAAATACTTGATATATCATCTTCGGGACTTTGATGGAACGGCTCTTGAGAATATCGTTTTGTCGAAAACTGACTTGGCCTGCCTTATTTACCGAAGTCCTTGGTTTCTTCGAGTTTTTATGGTGTTCTTCGGTTCCCTCGACGTCTCATGCCTTCTAACATTGCAGTGATTGTGCTTTACGTGGTCTATCCCCTGTCCCCGTTTGCATTGGTGATTGTTTAGTCAGAAGTCGGGATTTTCAGTTACTATACGGGCACTTTTGTCTAATTTTTCAGTAGTTTGATGGAACTTTGAGCCCTTCTATATGAGTTCTAGAAGTTCTTTCGTTTGGGCTCCTAAATCTCCCCAGAGGGCTCTAATTCCCCTTCCTCTAAGCTTGATCGCCCTCAGATTGTCCACCGCCTACATCCAGTTGACGGCGGCTTTGGTTCTGGACCTAGTGAACTTCTCTCTGTGACACTTTCATATCTGTTCTTAAACCAATTTTCTGTTGACTAGTCTTCTGTGGAGTTCCAAGCACTCCCTTGAGACTGCATTCACAGTACAAACCTCACGTGAGCTGGTGAAGACTCTCCTTGCCATCTTTAATCCTCCCGCACCCATTTACCTCAAAATTATTACTTCCATGTTGACGCAGTTTCCGATAATATTTGCAAGCTTAACTTTGTCTTTAACGTTCTATTCATAAAATTTTCGCCGGCTGAAGCACACCAAAGCGCTTTTAAATCTGAAATATTTGCCATTTGTTTTGCCGGGGAGCACTTTCGGTGCCTCCTGCAAGGTCGAGAGTTCGCAATACTCACTGACTACTGCCATCTAAGTAGACTTTGCATTATAACTATAACAAACTTGATTAGCTGGGGGCCAGCCGTTAGGAATGCAGTTATCACTTTGCTCCTTAGATCTCTTACGTCCACGGAGCACGAAATGAGACGTCTAAAACATTCCACCGGCTATCCATCTCCCTCATTCAGAATTTCGAATGGCTCGAACTCATTACAGTGACTGTGAACCAGCACTGGGCCAACTTCCAAGGATAAGAAGGTGCCATAGGCCCTCGGTTTGCAAGACGTGCCGCAGGTCACTGTCCATATCACCGTCTTGTGCGATTATTCCACTTCATTCCATCGTCCCCTGGAACTTATAACATTTGCCAAACTACCCTCACCTTCCTCAGCCATCTATCCCATACTTTAATGAAGGCTCCCGAGAACTGGTGGCCAACCGGTTCATTTGACCTCACGTACAGAAAGAAATGATGGCTTTGACACGGTCTTGTCATGCTTACCAACTCTGGAAGGTCTACCGATACAACAGGCGCCTGTTACTAATGTCAACACTTCTGGCGCTCGGTTCATTCCCATTCATCTGAATGTAATGAGCCCGACTTTTCCTCTTACTGGCTGTACACTTCACTTACATACTCTGTAATGGACAACTTATAATGCACAGTAGCAACCGGTTAAAGATTTCAAAAACTTTCCACTTTTCGGATGAATGTGAGGATTTGGTCAATCGGGAGCCAGGGGGTTTTGAGCTAGGTCTCCACACAACTTGGGAGTTTTAAGGGGAGTGCATGAATGCACAGATCGTTGATCGTCACTTTTTTGCCGCTCGTTTAGGAACTGCATCTTTAAAAATAATTTGGAAACTGAATTCTTCCTAAATTATCATATAAAAACCGTAGATAGGCCCTTAAGCTAAAGTTCCAAACTTCTTTAATAGATGAAATTGAAGTGTAATGTAGTGAAACCGTATAAGTTAGGGTCAAGACCACAGCATGTTGTAGTTTCGAGAATACTTTTTGAGGCAACAGATGCAATAACGCACAGTAAGGATGCATCGGGGCTGAGTGGATATTCGAACAAATCCAATGTTTTAACGAAATTTATGATTACGGAAGTGTCTATAAGATTAAGATCTGCACGGACAATTTGGAGAGGGCTATGTCAGATGCAGAAGCCTGACTATGGATTTGAGCATTCGCGTTAACCTAGCGTGGCCCATTCCGAGGCGAATCAATAATTTGACAGCCAGAATTAGGCAATTATTCAGTGCTAAGTTCAACCATTAATAATTTCGTGTCTTCAACGCCTTCGGATGCCATAAAAAAATTGATAGGGCCGTTGATGGATCTAAAATCGCATGATATATACGCAACGGGAAGTATCAGATCATTCAAGCTGGGTGGGATGCATGAGAAATTAGCAGAGGAAATGGTCTCTCACATAAGCTTAACGGTCGTCACCAATTACTTGGAAATCTGATTTGTCCTTATTATTTAATCTTTTGATATGTCACCAACGAAAACTGCAGTGTTTTACAAATATGTTCTTTAAGAATACAAGCTTTTTAGACTGAACTCCAGAGGTGATCTCATATGCATTCAAAAATGATGTCTACTGATTCTGGCCGGAAGATATTCGCCCTAGGTCAATAGAAAGTATAACGTCCCATGGATTATTTATTGTTCTTTTCTAACTGGCGTGTAATCCATGTAAGCCAACTACGTCGTATAGCGATCGAGACAGCCTACTTCTCACATATTTTATAGGTAAACGCGCGCATGTGCGCCGTCCAATGTTTACCCCTCGAATGAATCACAGCATTAACTGAATGAGTGTGTATGGTAATAGCATTTGACCTACACAACCACAACGAAATCAAAATCGTCCAACTTTGAAACCAAAAACAACGTCCTGATTGATACGCCAACTGACTGCGGAATAGTAAGCTTAATTATTTAATATTTAACATAGGAAGCGACACAAAGCGAATGACCGCCAAATGATGCGGCGCAGAATTCAACGGCTGCCTTGCTTCCTACAAGCTTTCAGGATAACTTATAAATTTAGCACTGAAGAATTTGGCCCCCTCTATGCGACACCGCACATTTTTCCCCACACTTAATTCAATACGTGCATGTCTAAGTATGCATCGTAGGCGGGATTGTCAGTTATTCTCACTTTCCTCCAAGGACTTTCTGGACGCCTGCTCAGTACTTTGTTATCTCTACTAATCTTTCACCATGATTTTGATCGAGCTTGACAAACCACCTAGTATAAACAGCTGAAATTTGCACTGAATGTTATATCGTCGTCCTTGTTTTAATGTATTCGGAGTGTAAACATTTGTCTCCACTTGCTCAAGGTCAGCCCTATTTCGCCCTGGTGACCTACCAATGGGAATTTCGCCAGCCACGCCCAGCGGGAAACTGCGTCATGGAGAATGCCAGTCTTCTTTCTCAAGACATGAGCCTATTAAGTATTTCATCGAGCTGTTCCACAGAAAGTCTTTTATCCGGCATAAGTAGCGGCATCGATACATCAACATTCGACTTTGCTATTCGGAGTAGGTGTTGCATTTTCATATTTGTTCCCAGATTCATGCAACAGTGACTCAAGTGTTGGAGGACACCATCCGGACAAAAGAGTAAAGATTATGGGTGAGATCTATTCGAAGTTTTAAATTCCTAACACGGTGTGTCTTTCTTCGTCAGCGAGTAACGTCACGCACATCATGGGAAAGCGGATAATCGCAAGAAAACCCAATTACCCTGGGAACAGAGTCGTACCTGTTTCGCTTGTGGCTCCAAAGGTTGTGTTTTTCAAAATAATTTTGTTAACTAGATGCAAAATGAATATACATCGAAAGTTTTAACCAAATTGCCCACAACTATACCCGAAGTTTCTCACTTTTAAGTTAATATTTGCAGTTGTAAACAGTGCGAAATAAAAGAGGTATGACGCCCAGAAAGATTTACTGGCACTTACACATATATGTATATGCGTGTCACTAAATCCTCGTGGGTGTCATGCCCCTTTTATTTCGCACTGTTCGCAACTGCTAATGTTGACTATTCTTATCGGCTCAATACCTTTTTAATGTTCGTCGTTGTTAGTTTCCCTAATAACAATTCTGTCTAATGGATTTCTGTGTCCTGCTCTTTAAATTTAACAGGTTACGCACTGTGTAAGCTGCGTTAGAGGATAAGTTACAAACACGTCCTCCTAAGTGTTCCCCCAATTCAAATTTCTGAATGTCTCCTTAACAGACATTTTCCCGTCTGTGTTCTGATCCCATCCCGCACATCTTTAAAATCTCCTCGTGGCTTAAGCGGTTCAACAATACTGAACATGCAAGAAACTCGAAACATGTTGCTTTCTTTTAGCTGAATCCATTTAAGCATGACGAAAGACAGTTCGAGATCTAAGATATTGAGGGAGATATCCGTGTGCATCTGTGCACGTTTTGGATCGCGAGTCTCGGCTAATTCTTGAGCCAAGGTTTATGCCTGGCGGCAGCCAAACTAGTCGTTTCGACATTTCAGGATGTTCCGAGACCTGTAGACCACGAATTAAGTTAACATATTTTATAGCCGAAAGATGAGTACATTTGAAATGCTCTCTACTATCCCGAAATCTGTAAACAAAGCTTAAATAAGCTTTGGGCTGAGCCCTGGTTGTTTCGGCCACTTTAGTTTTATATGATGTCTGACCTAGTTAAGTCCACATATGAGGTCCGTTTATCCGTCCATTAACCTGAAAATTTCATAGCGGCTGAATTCATAATTAGAGGGGACCACAGCCTATTCTCTTTTGGTAATGTCTTGCTTAATGTCACATTGGCCGTGAAAACGTCGTTCAAAGTTGGAGCTTCAATGGTTACCCATCATTTTTCAAAGCATCTACGTTATTTCTATATATATACCTCCTTCTGAATCCAGGAGCAGTAATTTTTTATTCTGTAGTAGTTATTAGGCTATGGATACTCGTTTCTCGATCTATTTTCCTCACCACGGTCTTTGAGTTTACCAGGCCGGGGAAATTACGATCATCAAGATATTTTATGTTCATAATGTACAGTTCCTTCTGGTCCGGTGTGAAGGCCACATATAAACAAAGGGATTATTTTTCCGACAAGACCCTGTGGACGTGGTATTCAGTCTGCTAGTGGAATCGTTTTGTGAAGACTGGAGAACTCTCGGGACAAGTTATTTGTTGCTGCTTTTTATAGTAAAGTTGCCTGCGCAACCTGTGACGCACGAACGTCTCCGGTGAGGACTCAGGAAACGAGTGCCTTCTGTAGCTTGAAAGTGGCTACGGCATTCGAGCCTGAGATTATGTTAGTTGTTAGCCATCTGAGTCTTGAAGCAAAGCTTGCTTACGAGCGAAGATTGTTGATCGCGGAGCATGTTAAGGGCAGACTGACAGGTTTCCTACAGTGTAAAGCGACCACTATCCGGAATGCACAGACTTTCATTTCGGCCGACTTAAGTCGGGGAGGTCAATATGTGTAAATTTACCGGAGTTGGCTACAAATCCTGTTCACTTGGCGAATTGCATTTTTGCTTGTAATGCCACCCAGCTAATTTTGATGGCTTGACGCAACATTTAAGACTTCGCCGGAGAACTATATGATTTTCGCCAAACAGCTCACATATATGAGTCCTGCCTTTCGCTGCACTTACGCTTGTTCGGTTGCTCTTTAGCTAATTCGAAAACATCACGTTGGCTGTGAAAAACGCAGTATGACCAAGAACCCCGTCGATGTGCACTGTTTTCCTAAGTTTGACTGGCAGCTACTGGAAATTTTTGACCATTCTGCTGACATGTTTTCCTCCAGTGTGGTGGATCAGCGAAGTAACATCCTGCCAAGGAATTCGCTTAAAGTCGGATATACTATTTACTGTCTCCCTTGCATCAACCCAACTTACTGACGTTTGCTAATGTTTGACATAGGAAGAGAATTTTAGAAAGGCCCACCCAAGTAGATTGTTTTTTCGTGAGCCATACGGTTATTATCAATTCATTACTTTGCAAAGAGATCACTTGCCAGGTTATCATGCTCTTCTTCAGTTTGGGAGTAAGAAACCTTCGCAGAGTGGCCGCTCTCTGTTAGGTATACCTTGCTTGGCCAATTTCCGCACTCGCGGTGACCGTTCGGGCTTTAATATATCCTCCCGCCGTCTTTTTCCAATGACACTAAAGGCAGTGGTACAAATGAATTCTTAAACTGCTAATTGATGTTAGCGTTCTGATGCGTTTCCGCAAAATGACCGGTTTTTTAAGTAAGTGCTTATCCGGGACTCACAATACGTGAAGTGCCTAAACGCTACTGCATACTTTCACAGTACCGTTCCTTTGGCGAGCAGAAAGGAGTGTTAATATCCCTCATGGGCGGGTATAAAAAAGAAATTATCACAGAAAGCTATGCGATTCTCTGGAGAACGTACAAGGCCTTGAGACTAATAGCATTAAACGAATGCATGTTCCGCAAACGGAGTTACTGCAACGTAAGACAGTTCAAAAAGATAAACGTGTGTGGAAGCCCGGGCATGATTTCTAATGGCGTTCTTGACAATTCCATTGCCGTTCTCTAATTCATTCTTCCAAATTATCCGTTGAGGTGTCAAAATAAGGTGCCACTACTTGGATATCCACCACCAAAGTGTGAAGGATTACTCCCGGATCACATGTGAACATCAGTAGTGTTTTATGTTTAAGTTCCCTTTCCTCATAGGATACTCTAACTAGTTCCATTTCATCTTGTTATTGAAATTTCTAAATTTAATTTCGTTCCTGTATCCAGCCTGATGAGAACTCTTTCGGAGCGAACCAGTACGCAGGTAGGCGAAAAAGACTATTAAACTCAAAGTCCCGAGAACCGACCACTGAGCAATCCGCCTCAAGGTCTTTGCGGAGAAAATCAGCCAGGTAGGCCCAGGACCTCCGCCGTTGCCCAATTTTGATTTGAGTCTTTTCTTTTTTCGTTTGGCCCCACCTATCATTACTGTACTGTAGACGTTCCAGTGGAATTTCGTCGATTGGCAGGGGTACTGGTGGACAGCTTTTTCGCGCCTCTGCCTCATCTCGGGAAGTTAAACGGCCAAGTGTTCAGGTAGGTGTTCAAAAAAGCAAGGAGCCTCACTTGGCTACCATTGGGGTGGACTCTGAGTTTTCCTCGACGTGCGCTTCAACAACCGATTGTCGGAGGGAAGAGGAGACCACCTCTTCCGGTGCAGTGGATCAGCTCTCGCCCTGGGAACGCTGGCTTCTAGAAAAAGAGGCTAAGCGAATCAAGGAGCATAAGGCATTTCTGCAGCAAAAGGTTAGTTCTAGTGAATGAGATAAGCAATAAAGCACTGCTGATCCCCCAACACACCCATTCCTACCTTTTTCTGTCTTATTTTTTTCTTTATTTAAAAAGGCGATTCAGCGCGAAAAGGAGCGGGAAGAGGAGAGAGCACAAGCAGCAAGGAGAGAGCTGCACAAGAAGCTGTACAGGGAATGGGTAAAAAAGAAGAGAGCAGAATTGTTGGCAGGACGTCGCGCGAAGGAGATGGAAGAGGAGCAGGCCCGCCAAACGGCACTGCAACGACAGGAAGATCTAAAGGTGTTTGCGCCCATTCTAGGCACCTTGTTTGACTCTTCTGAGTCGCTGAAAAGTTTCGGGGTCGTGGCGCTTTTAGATGTGGCGTCATGTCTTCGGACAAAGAGGAGATGGAAACAGTTTGTCTGTAAACTGGTCAGATCAGATTGCCGATTCGAACGTGGTTGGTTGCAATCTTATTAACGGTCGCTGGATCTCGGTTTTGGGTGCATCTCTGTATGTGCGCCCAAAAAATTGAGAAGTCTTATGTCAATACCAAAACAGGATGCGGTGCGTAAATAAATACTGTATTAAATGCGGAATCGCAACGACGAAGATACGCATGATGAAACATTAAAAGCTTACTGACAATACGTTGAAGTGTTGTGGCATGGAATATGCCACAGTTATCGAAGATCTACTCAGTTACATACTAACCCATAGACTGTTGGATTTACTCAAAATTTTATCACTTTCTGTCTCTTTGGGATCCCGAAACAGAATTAAGCCTCCCTTTCCAGACTTTGCAGTATGCTTCGATATTATTTTTTGGGACTCCGGTGGAGAGCCCACCAAGATCAAAATATTAATCCAGTGTGATAGGAATGTGGCCGTAATTATGAGGAGTAGTAAGTAATAGTCATTCAACTGACACGATACTCGGCCTGGGAGGGGATCTCGGTAAAGTATCTTATTTTTAGCCGTTCCTTTAGGTACGTACAATCAGTGGCCGATCTCGTGATATGTTAACCAAAATTCTGAAACGCGTTTTCGATTAGGACAGATTACTTAGACTGGGTTACTATATTGATTATTATGCGGCATAATTCGATGACATTTCGGACCCGCCGGAATTTTGGTTTTTGGAGACATTTGCTTTCGACCTACCGTAAAAGACCGAACTCGCTAAACGTCAGTTCAGCGGTTAATCTGGCTCAAAAGTATTCGAGAATTGGAAGAGGTTTTCAGAGCCGAAAGGTATCCTTACTTCGAGAATAACGTTTGAGGAACGTGTGACTTAATACCAGACTGAGAAAGTAAAGCATATCCTTGTGCATATTTTCTACAAAATATATCTGAATTTTTAAGGGCATCGATGCGGAAAACGCATACTACTTAAACAGTCATTTTTGCTAAATGCTGTTTTTACGGGAGGTTGAAAGGAAATGCCTCCAAAAGCCAGTATTCTGGCGAGTCCCAAATATCATAGGATTATGCCGCATCATAACCAATATGATAACCAAACCTAAGTAGTCCTTCCCAATCGAAAACGCGTTTCCGAATTTCGGCTAACATTTAATGTAATCGATCACTGGTTGTAAGCACAAGACGGGAACAGCTGTCAGTCAGCAGTTCTCTTCAAACCACCTTGCGGGTTCACTTTGATCTCAATGTATGCCTCTTCGATTTCGGGTTACATTCACCGGCGAAATTCAAACCGAGATTCATCTTCGGGTATTCTGGTTCAACAACTAACCTGCGAGTTGAGAAGCCGAAAGTCTTGATGCCTCAACGGCCACAGACTTAAACCGTATTGCTAAGAAAAACTCAATAAATTCCTTGAATTCAAAAAGAAGACCATATACGAAAAATGGTCAATCGATATTCATACTCAAACACGACTGAATCAGGTACTCACTTTTCTCCGTGTCTGAGTGCTCTTGGCACGTGAAGGAGTTATGATTTTGACAGGCCTACTTTGAGGCCAGGAAAGACAACGATGCAAACATGCTTTCCAGGCTTTTAACACCTTTTGCTTTCCCTGGTTGCGAATGGTTTTACTCAACAATAGCAACCATAATTTATACACTGATGCACCTCATGCAGCAGCATAGAATTTACTTTCCGAGCGGATCGTTTGCGCGACGAACATTACTCTGTATTGGTGGAAGGAGTACCGACACAGACAAGGGAAACCGGGATGGTCATTTCTGGCTTGTTAGCCGTCGTCAGCCAGCCATACCAAATCCGAGGTTTCCTGTAATCTTAAATTCGGACCCAGACTCTGGTCACAGATTGTCAAGTTCAGCACTTCACCACTAAGCCACAGGCCCGATGTCCTGTCACCTCTAATAGGCAATACAACTATTGTGGGAAGGTCGTCTGCCGATCAAGTTGGCATGTGAGGACTAATAATTCAAAATTTACCAAACCAATTCTCCCTGTCTATGTCAATACGCATTTCTACATCGCTACCGGCCATAATGCCACCGCTCTAAAGGACTTTAGGTCAAGCATCAAGATGAAACAGACGAGCATGTCCTTTAACCTGATCGGCGAACAACCCTCGCAGAAGTACCCAGTACAATATGGCGTAGAATCCATGGTTAGCTTTGCCCGATCCGATTCTACTATGAGCATATAACTGGCGGAAATAATTCGCAGAGAACTGCCACTCGGTAGTCGCTTATTACTCTCGATACGGAGGATTCGTAATGACTTTTTCAGTAGCACTTTTTCCCCGTTATTTGGATGTTTTACTGGTGCGAATATTGTATTAGCCTTACTGGGCGGACCTCTGTCCTTTGCTTTACTCATTATAAAATCTGATAATTTGGGAATGTAAGTAACAGACTCAAAAAAATCGGATGACATTGCTTAATTACTCTTTAGTACAGTGGTGTCGCCAAACAATTCAAACTGAGTATCGAAAACTTTCTTTTCCTCGCAACAATCAACTGAGGAGGGAATTAAAATGCGGGACTAAATAATAAGCGGAAATACTTTTCAGCTCACGAAAGCATGTCATTTTCATCATCTGGCGGCTCGAAATCTAATTTAGTCGGCTGTAAGCCAAAAGAGTAGGGGAACTTTGTTGTTTCCGCACACGCATACAGCCCAGAAACCTCCAGTCTTGCTTACATATTTTTATTTATGGTAAATACAGATACTACTGACAAATAGTAAGTGACCATTATTTCGCACAAGATAAACTCGCTCTGTGTGTTTTGGTCAAAATTAGGTCCGAGCTGAAGCAAAGTACCGTGCGTGGCTTGAAGCAAAAAGAAACGAGGACAAACTGCTACGGTTAAAGATGGAAACAACCAATTTGGAAAGTAAAATGCTTCGCCAGGAGAAACAGAAGACGGCTGAAAAGGCCTTCAACGACTGGCTATCCCACGCTACTCCCCGAAAACGGCGACCTCTCTACTCCCGCGGCTATGCAGACGGAACCATAATACGTATGTACATGTGAAGTAATGACTATATTTTGACAGCTTTACAGAGGGAATATGCTCACTGATTGACCACCCAATACCTAAAGCATTACTTGTTCGTCCCTCCTTCAAATTGATTGAGTCCCTTCTCCTGAGACTACAGCGACTTGTTCCTATTGGTGCTTCTAGCGAAGCACGAATGAGCTTAAGAGCTGACTCTCATATGTTTCGTGTATTTAATTATACCGGCTTCTCAGGGTGTTTTGCTGCGATTGCGTGTTAGCGCGATCGTCTAGCAGCTTGTTTTAAGTCCGCATTCTAAGTGTTCTGAGATATTTGTCTTGTTTAATTTCCGAGGAAATTAATGCGCGAACTTGGAGCAAATCTTTCGAAACTGACCTTTTCAGGCACGGTCCAAAGTCTGATATGAATATTTGAGCCGAAATCCATCAGCTACTGCGGAATAACCGCGTAATATTCACAAACCGACAACAGGCAGCCAGTAGTATAGAATTGTGCAATGATTTACCGTACTAACAACACAGGTATTAGCAGTTCTGAGATAGTCTGCGAAGCTGAAGAGTTGTTTAGCAGTGCTGGGAATAAAAATTGGTTACGCGTGTCGCATTATTCTTTGAAGCTGTCTTATAATGCCTGGATTTGCGTTGGCTTGTCGGGTACGACAGTGGACCACAGTCATACTCCGTCCAATTTCTAACTATGTCTCTTATTCGGTGTTCCCTTATGCGCTGAATATGAGGATGAGTTATAAATCGAATATACCAACTTATTATCATTACAAACATTAAGTTTTGACCTTCTAATCTTAGTCCTTTTATATTACGCGGCCTTCTGGTAACCCCGAGTTTAACTATTTTCAGGCTATTTTGATCGCACAGCCAATCCGGAGCCCTCCTTTTGCAATAAAAACAATTGGGTCGATTAGGGATAAATGTCCTGCCTTCGAGACACCGCCCTGTGATTTATGCTTGTTCTACTTCCAATAAATTTATGTCTTTCTTAAATCTCCACTGGTCTGGCAGTTAGTGGATTTGTGTGCGGGAGAAGGGTGTGCGGTGAGGGAAATTTTTAAAAGACGGTGTCAGCAGGGTGGATTAAAAACGTATGGTTTATGGGAGGAGAATCCTGTAGGATCGAAAAGTACTCACTGAGCATTTAACCTCATTTTTATGGACAAGTGAACTTGTTCAGCAAAGGATAGAACGTTCCGACATTGTGCAGGGCAAGCAGATAAGCAGGAAAAACATTTTATGGTTTTCTACTTTTTGGCATGTCTTTGTTATACGGTGACCGTGAGCACACTTGTATATATTCGAATGGGTTTGTGCCCGGTGTAGGCTTCGTAGATATGCGCTCACGCGTGCAGAGGGGACGGGCTTTCACAGACGGAAAGAGAGTGGTAGGTGGGGATCTATGGTTGCCGCCGGCATTTTTGTTTCAGAGGGGGTGGAGAGATCCCTGGGCCGGCATCGGGATAGGGTCAACAGACGATAAACACATTTCGCAGGTGACCATCCCAACCTCTCGTGTTTTCGTGGATGATGTCTCGCGACGTATTGTAGAAATAGAGTGACAACATCTGGTCTAAACTTTTACCAGAGGTACCACCGACCGACATGCGTGACTGGAAACAAGCTAACGCGCATGTAGGCACTGTACACACAAGTTAAATTAGGCCGAGGGGGTCATCAGCACCGTAAGCACAAAGTTCCATCGGTGTCCCCCATCAGACAGTCCTTGTCGGGGTAAATTAATTGCGTTAGCACTAAGATCGCAGGAAAAAACAGCGACTTTCTGGGCAAATCGGTCTGCTTTGTTGTTAGCAGGCTGTGCATACAGTCATGACAGCTGTGAATTTATAGCCGCAATTAGGATCGTAGAAAGAAAGCAAACGCCATCCCATAAAATGCGCAAAACATATTTCTCCACGTCCCCTAAACGACAACGCCGAATGTGGTTGTTGACTTGTGTCTTAAACTCATTGATGCCAGAACTATTTTTTTTAATTATTTGATCCCTCCCTGTAGGCGGACAACTACACAAACCGATCGGCTGTCTAGTTATTAGATGTCTCACACTGGAATGGGGCGTCAGTCTGCTTGTCGTATGGAAATCCGCGTCTCTGTAGCTTTCTCATTCGTTATCTCTGTTATGCAGCAACAAGTTGCAGTTGATGAGCCGTCGCGAAATGTGTTGGTCCCAATAAATTCTGCTGTGTAGGCCTTTTTCAAATTCGCACCTCAAGCAATGGGGAGAGTGAACAGGTAATCACCTTTCAGCTAGCAAAGTGGTCAAATGAAAAGTAACAGCCACGTCTAGCATCAGAGGGCAGAACTAGTCTGTATTGAAGCGCCAATAAGATCACTGCGAAGTTGCTAAAGAAGATAAAGTTTGGGCATGAGAATGACCGACCTTCGATCAATAAAAAATTGTATTTTGCATTTTTATGCAAACTAACTGGGCAAGAATGCAGCCAAGGATTTCCAGTAAAAGAACTACGTTCAATGGTGGTAGTGAAGAATAGGCACATTTCGTCAGATGCGGCTACGTAGCCCCACCTGAAGTAAACAATCCGCAAATACCTGTAATACGGGACCGGTGGTAATAAGGGATTTACAGGTGGGGATGGGGAACGTACAGGCAACAAGGTCAAGCGGTTGTATGGAAAAGAGAAGCTATTGGGAATGCGTGGTTGTACTTTAAGTGGTTGAGAAATAGTTGCCCTAACCCCTAACCATAAACCCTAGCCCTAACCCCTGACTCTAACCCCTTACCCTTAACCCTAACCTCTAACCATAGCCCCCTAACCCTTAACCTTAACCCCTAATCCCAACCCCAATATTATTGTGTCCATTAGGTGGAGCTACATAACCACCTTTTACCCATGTTTCGTCAGAGTGTACAAGGTGCCATTGGCGAGGACTCACGTTGCAGCAGTACGGTCATTCCAGGTTCGCCGATGAGGGTGAATGGACTTTAAAAGACTTTACACCTACGAGGATACACCACCGCAGGTACACCGCCGCCAATTTACACGCATGAAGACGTACAGTGGGTGGGCTAACTCATGAAATGTCGACCGAAATTCCGAACTGCGTTTGCGGTTTGAAAAGATTAATTAAGTAGGGTTGTGAAACTAATTTTCATTCAGCATGATTCTTTACTAATTCAGTTACCTCAGGATGCCAGCTTTCGATAGAACTTCTTTCCAGCTGCATGCAAAAACCATACTCTGTAAAAAATGACTACTTATGTAACATGCATTTTCCTCATTCATTTTCGATGCCCTTAAAAATTCAATTATATTTCATGGAAAACATGCATAAACATATTCATTCTTTTGGTCATTCGGCAGAAAATTACATCTTTTTTCACTTTTATACTCGAAGGAGGAGTAAGACTCGGTTTTCAAAATTTTCCAATTCGCGAATAATTTGGAACCCGGCCTGCCGTTACACTTCTGTTCAGGGTTTCCAAGCTACAAGTCGTATATTTCCGCGTACGGAAAACCATAAATTTCTCTACGGTACTAAGAGAAGACCATATGGAATTCAGTTATATTTCATATGAAATATAATTGAATTTTTAAGGGCATCGAAAATCAAGGAGAAAAATGCATGCCATATAAGTGGTCATTTTTTAGGGAGTTTAATTTTTGTACACAGTCAGAAAGAAGTTGGTCCGAAAGCCGGTATTTTGAGGTAACTGAATTATTATAGGATTATGCCGTATGCTGATTAGTTTCACAACCCCGCTAGATCGCAATTGGTAGCCAGGACCCGTATTACAGGTAGCGGGGGGTTGTTTACTGGGGCTATTTTGTGGGGTTCCATAATCACATCTGACCCATTTGGCTTCCGCTTTACGTTTGAGGTTAGGATTAGGGTTAAGGTTGCCGTCCACTTCCCCATTCCTGGCTGCCAACTGCGATCTAGCCCACAACGCTACTTAATTAATCTTTTCGAAACGAAAACGCATTTCGGAATTTCGGTTGACATGTCATCATTTAGCCCACCTACGGTAATGTGAGCGACACCATCTGCATCTGTTAACGCAGGCAGTCGCCGTGGTAGTAAGTTCCTATAACCAATGCATTGGCGACCCTAGCCAAACGCATCTGTGAACCTGGTGAATACTTCTGCATCACCTAGCGCCGGCATCTGTGGACCCACAAAGCCGTGCTCAGCATGGCGGCCACACGCCGGTAGCCGTCCTTGACCAAGTGAAGGCGTCCGGTGGGTGTGTGTCTTCACACCCGGTAGTCCTTGTATTAATCCTCAAAATCTCTCCGCACCCCCCCCCCCAAAGTCCTACGGGCGGCCCGTTGGCGACCGGACCTAACTCGGGTCGTGTTCCCGCCAAATAAAAGTCATGGCCCATGGTGGGATCCGGCGGCCGCCTGCGATGACTAAGCAGCCCTATTTAGGGGTAACACTGCCCACCCCCTCGCGAGAGAGAGGGAGGGCCATAAGTGGTCATCAAAAGTTGCTGGTACAGCGCGCCGTCGACTAGATGACTGTGACCTGTGAACGCAATATATGTTGTCGACCAACCGCACTCAACAACAACCCCGTCCCAATCTCTGAGCCTTCCGCAGGCTGCCAGAGCAGCAGTGCTCACTCTGACAGCCTGAAATATTCGTTCCCTTTAAGACAATGCGGTGGCGAACTCACCGGAAAGGAGGAAAACTCCGATGACGCGAGAACCAGCCCGTTATGAAAAGAACATTGCGACTCTCGACGAGACCTGCTTCTGTGATCGGGGAAAACTGAAAGACGTTGGCGCCAGTTACACCTTCCAAAGGCAGAACGATGGGATGTCTGAGTCGCTTTCGCCGTCAGGAACGACATCGTGATATGGCTATCCCGTCCGCCATAATCGTCTTGTGGGTCTGCGCCTGCCTCTTTGCGGTAACAAATTCACCACCATCCTCAACGCCTACATTCCCCCTTGCCCTCCACCATGACCAGCTCGGATGACGTAAAGAACAAGTTTTGCGAAGACTGGCACGCACTCCTGCGGCTGTGCCCAATGAGGACAAACTAGCTGCCCTTGGTGACCTTCATGTCTGCGTCAGCACAGACCACGCTGCCTGGGCGGGAGTGCTTGGTCGCTGCGGGATCAGCAGCTGCAACAGAAACGACCTCCTCCACCTACAGGGCTGCACGGAAGACAGTCTTTTTCCGATCAACGCCTTTTCCGTCTTCCGATCCAGGAGATGGCAGCGTGGGTGCACCCTCGCTCGCATGACGGGCATCTGCTGGGCAGCGTGACAAGTGTGACGTGTTCGTGACCAAAGCAGTGTGTGACGCTGACTACCGGATGGATCACTGTCTTGTCATCTGTAAGATGAAGCTCGAACCGCAACCGTGAAGGTGACCGCGAGATAAGTCCACATTATTTAAGTTAAATACTTCCTTACTTGATATGCCTGAACGCGGATTGAATCTTAGCAGCTGCATGAACGCCAACACTGAAGACATGTAAACCCCCTGGTAGGGGGAGGAGGGGGGGGGGAACGAGCACCAGTTTGGAGACACAATGGAGGGATTAGTGGAACACCATTCCGACCACCGCGATAGAAGCTCTCGGCCGCATACACTGTAAGCACCATTATTGCTTTGATGACAATAAAGAAGAACTTTGCAGTCCACTCTCTGAGAAGCACAATCTATACATGATATTTACCATAAACAGTGCCAACGACAGTAAATACTCAAGAATTTCTTTGTGGCCATCGAAACCGTCTGCGGCCCTCAGACCAAGGAGACTGAGTTAGGATGGAAGGATCCGCCTGATGGAGATGGCTTAGACGCTGGAGCTTGGGACTGCACACTTTCAGGGCGTCCCAAGTACCCGTTTACAACATGTGAAGAAGCTGTTAATCGACTTCCTCAAGTGGACACTGCCGACTACCTTTATCGC